AGAATAGAATAGAATAGAATAGAATAGAATAGAATAGAATAGAATAGCAGAGTTGGAAGGGACCTTGGAGGTCTTCTAGTCTAACCCCAGCTTAAGCAGGAAACCCTACGGCACTTCAGACAAATGGTTATCCAACATCTTTTTAAAAGCTTCCAGTGTTGGAGCATTCACAACTTCTGGAGGCAAGTTTTTCCAGTGGTTAATTGTTCTATTGTCAGGAAATTTCTCCTTAGTTCTAAGTTGCTTCTCTCCTTGATTAGTTTCCACCCATTGCTTCTTGTCCTGCCTTCAGGTGCTCTTCCCATCAGCGTCTTCATGCCGTCTAAAAAAACATCAGCCCACACTTGCCTACAGACCCTTTTTATGTCTCTGACTTTGAAAGATGAAATGGTTTTTGGTGACTAACTTGGGGGAGGATGGATCTGCCCACCTACTGCGTCAACGCCTACTAAACTTTGTTCTAAAATGCTGGTTGACTTTCATCCTTTCTAGTGTCTGTCACGTCTTTTGTTGTGGTTGCAGGTGAGAAATGTGCAGTCTAGCCTTGGGTGGAGATAAAAAGACACACAGAGACAGACAGTTGCTTTGGAATTTAGGAAATTGCACTTCTGTAATTTGCTACATCTAGCTTCCTCTGTCGATTAAAAGAGATAAGTTAATGCACCATAAGTGTTTGGGATGAGGCAGGCTACCGATGAGAGCAGAATTCTTGGAAAAGTACGAAAGAACCGCCTTTCTTGAGAAAGTTGCTTCTTTTTGTACTTTTTTTTCATGGGTTGGATTTGAGTCCTTCCAACAGAGCAGATCAATGTAACTTAATGGAAGAGAGGTACATTCATATGGAGTTCTGGTTCATCGTGGTCCAACTCGCCCTTTATCTTCTGCACATCATCAAGAGCTGGAAAATAGGACAGAGACTTTATTGGTGGCCAGATGGCTGAACAAAAAGATCAGAAACCCAACAGGCTTCCAAACAAAAAACAAGCTTCAAAAAGAATAGAAGGGAATAACAGAGTTGGAAGGGACCTTGGAGGTCTTCTAGTCCAGCCCCCTGCTCAGGCAAGAATCCCAACACTATTTCAGTCAAATGGTTATCCAATCTCTTCTTAAAAACTTCCAGTGTTGGAGCATTCACAACTTCTGGAGGCCAGTTGTTCCACTGGTTAATTGTTCTCACAGTCAGGAAATTTCTTCTTAGTTCTAGGTTGTTTCTCTTGTTGATTAGTTTCCATCTATTGCTTCCTCTCCTGCCTTCTGGTACTTTGGAGAATAGCTTGACTCCCTCTTCTTTGTGGCAACCTTTGAGATATTGGAAGACTGGTATCATGTCACCCCTACTTCTTCTGTTCATCAAACTAGACATACCCAATTGGAGCAACTATTATTTATATGTTTTAGCCTCCAGTCCCCTAATCATCTTTGCTGCTCTTCTCTGCACTCTTTCTAGAATCTCAACATCTTTTTGTTTGCACGGGTCAGAAGGAGGACTGTGAAAATATCTACAGGCCCCTCACATCCCAGACATAAACTGTTTCAACTCCTTCCCTCAAAATGACGCTATAGAGCCCTGCACACCAGAACAACTAGACACAAGGACAGTTTTTTCCTGAAAGCCATCACTCTGCTAAACAAATATTTCCCTCAACACTGTCCAACTGTTTACTAAGTCTGCATTACTATTACTATTAATCCTGCCATCCTTCCTTTCACCCTCCTACTCATGAATGTATGTATCCTAACAATTTGTATTGACTGTTTCCTAGTAGGATTTGATTGCTTATTGTACCCTATGACTATTATTGTTGCACCTGATGATTCTTGACTCTTGATGAATGTATCTTTTCTTTTATGTACACTGAGAGCATTTGCACCAAGACAAATTCCTTGTGTGTCCAATCACACTTGGCCAATAAAGAATTCTATTCTATTCTATTCTATTCTATTCTATTCTATTCTATTCTATTCTATTCTATTCTATTCTATTCTATTCTATTTCCATTTCCATTTCCATTTCCATTTCCATTCCATTCTATCCAAATTCCTATATTCTATTCTATTCTATTCTATTCTATTCTATTCTATTCTATTCTATTCTATTCTATTCTATTCTATTCTATTCTATTCTATTCTATTCTATTCTATTCTTTATATCATGGTGACCAAAATAGGATGCAGTATTCCAAGTGTGGCCTTACCAAGGCATTATAAAATGGTATTAGCACTTCATGTGATCTTGATTCTATCCCTATGTGGATCAACGTTCTGTGTTGAGTGTGTATGAAGATTCCCAAAGGTTCACAGAAAGACCAGTTGTATTTTGAAAAGCACCTTTGGGATGTTCTGTGTCATATCTCAATCTCCTTCCTCACTTATTACCGGGATCAACTGATCCATCCGTCTGATTTCAGCGAGACGAGGAGGAAGAAATCCTCCATCTCTTGGCTGGAGCTCTGTCAATCTCCTGGAATCCCTGAATTATACATAACCGCTCATCACAGATGAATTGATAGCCGGGAGTCTTTGCGCTTAAGACCGAGAACAAATTATTATTTCTACATGCTCAGATCTGGCAAATTGTTTTGCTTGGAAACCGGAATAAAAATATTGGACCCTTTTGCTGGATTTCCTTTGAATCAAAATGCAACGGGGAAGAGGTGTGTGTCTGCATTTAAGTACTAGTGGTATCCGTTGATAAGATGCTACTCTGAAAGATATAAAACCTTCCATTTCTAACAGGGTTTGGTAACACGGGGTCATTGGCATCTTAGACTGCAAATCCAGTCAACTGTCTCAGGGATAGTCATGCCAGCCAGGGATGGGATGCTAACAGGTAACAGATAATCAGAGTTGGAAGGGACCTTGTAAGTCATCTAGTCCAACCCCCTGCCCAAGCAGGAGACCCTACATCATTTCTGACAGATGGGAGTCCAATCTCTTCTTGAAAGCTTCCAGGGATGAAGCTCCCACAACTTCCGAAGGCAACTTCTGTTCCGTGGGTTGATTGTTCTCACTGTCAGAAAGTTTCTCCTTATTTCCAGGTTGAATATCTCCTTGTTCAGTTACCCTTTTTATATGACTTTTTGGGGGGCTGTTGCAGTTTCCAAGGGGCATTAAATGAGTGGTCGTTAAGTTGAGGATTACTTGTGAAGTAGCCATTATTCGTTATTATGGCACAAATTGTGAATGTTAGTCATTTGAGGAGATATGTTGTTAGTTGAGGACTGCCTTGTTAGGTTCAGTGGATAAGGCAGCCTCCTTTTCCTTCCTACTCCAGTTTTCTTCTAAATGTGCTGCTTCGCATCCCCTCCCCTCCTCCCGTCCCTGGGCTCCATCCCTTCCCTCTCTCTCCTGTTTCTCTGGCTGCCTCAGGGTTAGACTAAAACAGTATGTCTTGGAAAAGAGCCAGATTGATGTCATGGTTGTTGACATCAGGCTAGAAACCAGGAGACCAGGAGTTGTAGTTTCACGTTAGCCAGCTGGTTGATCTTGGGCTAGTCCCTTTCTCTCAACCCCAGGAAGGCATCAATGAAAAAAAAAACACCAAAAAAACCGGGGGGAACTGGTCAGGGCAGCCTCCAAGAATTGGACACAATGGAAGGGGGGGGGGGGGGGGGGCATGCTTTTTGAGACGAGAACCTCCTTTTTGTAATATGTCTTGTATGCTTGTTTCTCTTCTCCAGGTTCCCTCAAAAGCCCAGTGAATAAGACGGCCCTTACCTTAGTTGCTGTGAGCTCTTGCATCCTGGCTATGGTCTGTGGCACCCAGATCTCCTGTCCGCTCACTGTCAAAGTGACCCTTCATGTCCCTGAGCACTTCATTGCTGATGGTAAGAACTTTCTGCTTCTCTGCTTTTGGGTGCAAGGGTGTGGCTTCTCTAAGAGCATGGCTTAGTCATGCTTTCTAAGCAGCTGCATCTCTCAAGAACTGTCGTGCCCCTGTTGGAGCCTGAATCCGAGTAGGAAGACGAACAGCTTACAGGGAGCGGGAGTGTGGCTCCATTGGCTGTGGAGGAAACTGGGGAAGAGCAAAGTCCAGCTGGGCAGAACAGGGAAGAGGTAGAACAAGGGAGAGTGAGTTCAGAGGAAGACCCAGACCCACCCCTCTCTTCATCCTAGGGCTCGCAGGGAGGAACGGAGAAGGGAGCAACGTGGGTTGCATGGCTTACGGGGAAGGAAAGGGCCCTGATTCCTGTCATTAGCCACAGCTGGGAAGAGAGTTTAAAAGAAATGCATGCTGAGTGCAGCAGCTACTGGGAAGTCTTATGTCTGATAAGCCAGTGAAGAGTCATCAGTGGCCTGTCCAACATTGTGTGTCACATAGTGGCTGATTAGGAATTAACAAGAATTATGGACAAAAAGCTGATTTGTTCTCATCCACTGTTGTTCCACGAAACCTTTGGGGTTTTTTTTTGGGTGGGGTGGGGTGGGTTGTATTAAAGACATGTTATCCTGTAGACTAGTACATACTGATTAGACTTCCAATCCATAATTTATTTTGTTCCTTTTAAAAAAAAAGTGATATAAATGGGGTCATCATCCTTGGGAGAACCGATTCTGCGGTTTAAACCATGTGCTGATATTTTAATGGTGACATTTGGAAATAACTTTTTTTTCCCACCTTGGCATTTGCAAAAGGGCTCCAACGTTGGACCCTTGGCTAATTTGCAGCACAAAAACATCCTTTATTTTGCATGCCTTAGCAAATCCAGACTTGGGTGTTTATTTCTGCTCTTTCTGTCCTGCCCTTTTATTTATGAGATCTCTGAATAATAACTCCTTTGAGTGTGATTGTTAATCGATACCGATGGAGCCAAAAATGGCACAGCTGACCCATGAAATATTCCAATTAAAAGGAGAATGTGGACCTGTTCTATCCTGAACATCAGCCAAGACTCTACATAGATTTAAAGTTCTCTGAATGGATCTGCAAACACATCACCTTACCAGGATAACAGAATAACAGAGTCGGAAGGGACCGTAGAGGTCTTCTAGTCCAACCTGCTCAAGCAGGGAACCATATGCTATTTCAGACAAATGTTTATCCAACATCTTTTTAAAAGAAGCTTCTTAGATGAGAAGCGGAAATGTCCTCAAAGTGAAACCAGAAAGTCCAGTTGCCACTTGAAACAGGACCTTTGGGTTATTTCCTACAAAACCTTTTTTCAGATGGAGAAACAGTCACAGTCAGAAAGAGTACAGAGGAAGCAGCAAAACCTAAAGAAAGGAGAACCACATCAAACTCATCCTTTGAGACAATGCAGCAGAACCAAGAGCCATCAATAAAAAAAAATTACACAAAAAAGGAACCACTTAAAGAAACTTCTACAGCAAAAGCCCTTTCTGTTTTTCAAATGATCAGGCAATACCCTTCCATGGCCTTCAGCTGAGCGGGAATCTTGTCTTACACACTTTCCCTCCGGGGGAAAAAAAAATGTCTAATCTCAAGTGTCTTTTCCACTTGCCAGACAATGGAGAGACCACTTTTGATGATGGAAGATGGAAGGAGTTCCCAGAAACCACTGCTTCTCTTTATAGCTCCCTGCTTCCAATATTTCTTGAGTTTCTCTGACCTTATCTGAACCTGCCTTGCAATGTCTATCAAGTGCAACCTCTCGGAGACCCGAGCAAATTCAATTTTCTTCTTCCACACAGGAACCGAGCTTGAGAAGGCATTAAATTTTTCATCGGGTTCCCTTTCTCTCTCTCTCTCTCTCCCCTGCTGGTACATTTTCTGCCTCTGATGGGAGGGCAAATCGATGCTTTTTTTCTGGCCTTCTAGAGTGAAAGGATTGAAGGCACGTTGGTTTTCTCCAAGCAGATACACATTTTCTTAAAAATTTGTCCCATCATTTCCAGCAAAGCCACAAGCAGAGATCTACATTGTTAATCCAACTGTGGTATATTTTAAGTGAGAATGGAATGGAATGGAATGGAATAGAATAGAATAGAATAGAATAGAATAGAATAGAATAGAATAGAATAGAATAGAATAGAATAGAATAGAATAGAATAGAATAGAGGAATGGAATGGAATAGAATAGAATAGAATGGAATGGAATGGAATGGAATGGAATGGAATGGAATGGAATGGAACGGAATGGAATGGAATGGAATAGAATAGAATAGAATAGACTGGTGCAACCAGATCGTTAGAACCGTTGCGAACCGGCAACATAACACCACTGGTCCTTCTTAAATACAGTGTCCAAAACTGGATAAAATATTGCAGGAAGACCGACTTTGGCATGGCATTAATTATAGCATAAGACATCAAGGTTCAGGGTTTATGCCAGCTGGGTCAATGTAAGCTCGATTGAAGCAGACAAAGGCGTTTCTTCCATGTTTTCCTGGCCAGAATAAGCCAACATTTCATATTTTCCTTGGCAGCTCAGCCGGCAAACCGCCCATTCAAAGTTGCTTCTCTTCCCCACAGTTTAGAACTGTATTTTAAAAGTGTCGTTTCGGAGATCATTCTCATTCTTGGTGCCATTTCACTCAGTCCCTCATGTTTTTCATCTTCCGAAAAGCCATTATGTCTCGATTGGAGACTGCCCCACCTCCTCCCCTCTTCCAAGGGACATTAATCTGTTTTATTGGTATTTCATTGGCAGCTCTGATGGAAATCTTCTGCACCCTGCATAATTTTACTTGCGGAAATTTTTTTTCCCCTCCCTATCCTTCTGATACATGCACGGCTCGATCAAACTTCTTCAGCTTCTGATGTCAACATATATGTACACGAGTCAAAAGAAGGTGATAAATGTATAGCCATACAGATGGGATGGCAGTCATCCTTTGGGGCAATAACCGATCATTCTCACTGAGGTTGATAGAACAGTATGTTTGTAGCTCAGCATTGAACCTGGTCCTCTCTGACCTGGATGCTTTGCTTACAGGCCTTTCATTACCCAACTAAATAACATCATAAGTCGTAGAAGGCAGTGGGGTTTGCACTGTATTTATATATAGTTCCTTCTAGCACTGATGATGTTACCTAGTTCACTAATGAAATATCTGCAAGAAAACAACACAAATGAGAGAGCACCAAAGACCCCCAATTCTCCTCCTCCTCCTCTCCACACCCCTCCACTCCCTCATAGCACTGATGATGTTACCTAGGTATGTAATGAAATGTCTGCAAGAAAACAATCCAGCTCAGAGAGCACCAAAACCCCACAATTCTCCTCCTCTCCACATCCCCCCATTCCCTTGTAGCACTGATGATATTACCTAGTTGGGTAATGAAACATCTGCAAGAAAGCCCCCAAGCTCAGAGAATACCAAGAACCCTACAATTCTCTCTAATAATGTTATTTTGGGGATATGTGTCTTGCAGAAAGGCAAAAACCGAGCCGAATTAAATGCAAGAGATGAGCTGGTGGGCAAGTTATTAAAGACAAAAGTGTTACCAGTTCCCTGGTGTAAATATTTGAGGCATGTTTTCATTGCCTTAATAGGGACAACTGCTTTATCCGTATTTTCCCCCTAAAATTATTTCCTTAAATCTGCCACAATATTTGCAATCTGAACCACTCCCATCCTCTCTTTTCCTTTCCCCGCAGCTCTTTCACTGTTTAAATAGTTTCTAGGTTTGTGCAGCTGCTCCACCAACCTTCCAGTGGCAGTTGGTGGCCATCCCAATGGATGTAGAATTAGGGTAAGCCACGTTTTCGGTGGAGCGCAGCCAGATGTTATCTTGCTTGTCTGTTGACAAGGAAGATTACAGTTGCTGTATCTCCTGACTTCCATTGGACCAATTCCCAATATATCTTAGCCAGAAGGGCAGTGACTGAAAACTCGGAGCTCACTTGCGCCTCTGAAGTGGATCCAAGTTGGGAAGGCAAAATAGATACACCATTGATCATTCGTTTATTTTATCTTGCTTTCTGTGTGACAGATGGGATCACAAAGGATTAAAAAAAGAAGAAGCAAAATGCAGCAGGCATTGAGAAGGGATGGAAAGGGGAAAGAAGAGCAATTTTTTCTAAAGCAACGAAAATAGCTTGTAATGGGCTAATACTGGCGTGCACTTTGGACCCGTAAGCCAATGAAAACTGCTGCCATTGTGTTATATGTGTAGTTTGGAGCTGCCTCATTCTCCCTGTGTCTTAAAAAGTCAATAAGTGGCTCAACAAAATGTAATTCCCCCACATGCCTTATTTAACTTTCCAGAGATAGAGTAGCTACCAGTAATAACTCCATTTAAAGGATGGAAATGATGTTCCAACTGAGAAAGAATCCTGCAAAACTTTGATTCCAAGGTCATTTGATCAAACCATCCCTCTGGAATGATACCATCCATGCATCGGTTTGAAACAATTTGAAGATGCTTTGTGCATGCACACATACTTTTATCACCTGTTTTATAGAATCATAAGGTTGGAGAAGATCTTGGAGGAAGTCTTCTTCAACCTTATTAGAAGGTCAGAGAAGATCTTCTAGCCCAAGCCAGAAGTTCTCATATCACCTCGGACAGATGGCTCTCCAATCTTTTCTTGAAAACCTCCAGCAATGGAGATTTAACAGCTGGGGGAAACAAGCTGTGTCACCGCTTGGTAGTTCTCTTTGGGCCAACTTGGTTCAGTTCACCAATTCAAGTCAACTTGATCAGGCCTACTGAAATATCAAAGTCAATGGGTTCACACATACTCCTAAATTCCAGCCCATCAGATATCCATCCATCATATTTTAATCTCTAGGATCTCTCTACGTGTCTGAAAACCACAACTCTGCCATTTCTAAGACCAGCCGTCAGGTGTGGTTGGAGGTCAAAACAAATAGCTTTCCAAGCTGAATGATTAATCACGCATGAATTTAATAACCCTGG